GCAACAGTCCTGCAGCATTTTGCAGGTGCTTGATGTGAACGAATCAAACACCATCACATAGCAGCCCTGTCAAGAATTGGACCTTAATTCTGATGTCTGAGCCATCGGGGCTTTTGAGCAGTACGGATTTTTCATAGGTGCAAGCGTTGGCAACATGTGCAACAGGTCCTCAGAAGCAGCAGATTGCGTGATCAAATTGCCTTCCTAGCTAAAAGATAGGAGTTGGTTCGAACATTTGTGTCAATTTCTATTACTTAAGAGGTAATAAAGATTTGATTTTCATAGCGCCCCTAAACCTGACCTACAAGAAGCGTCTTGGTCTTGGCATACACGACCTGCTGTGCATGTTAAGCAGAGAGTGGAGTACCTAAGCGGATGCGTCAGGACACTGAACCCCAAACCCTGCAGCCTAACGCCCACTTGAATTCCCCCATGCCCCCAACATGGGGAACTAAAGGGAAAAGAACATGGAGCATGAAATGGAAGCTGGGATCACAGGAGCTTTTCTCCAAATCATCCGTGTATTCCCTTCAAAAGGGACCCGTATAATCCCATTATAAGCTCCAAGGGTCTCTTCGGGGCCTGCCTATTTTAGGAACCACACTACGGTGCGGCTTATGGGCTTTGTAATGTAGGGGCCTGTACAACAGATAAATGAACCTACTTACACCCTCAACTCCTCAACCCTAAGCCCTAGACCCTAAACCCTGAAGCCCTAAACCCTCAACCTTAAACCCTCAACCCCTAACCCTTAAACCCTCAACCCGGAGTTTCAGTCAAGCAGGCCAAGGATGCCGAGGAGCAAGCCGTCAGGCACTTCCCGAAGCCTTTTGCAGACGCTGTGATATATCCAGGATCCCCGGAGCTGGTAAAGGTACATACCTTTTGTTCGTTTATTCTTGGTATGAATTGGTACTCTTGTGGTTATTGTCTCTATTTTTCGTGTTCGCATCCAGAGCAGGTGGTACCTTCTGTTTGGTTAGAATTGGTATTGCTACTCTTGTTAGTATTGTCTGTAGTATCCAGGAGCTTAAGCCGGTAAACATATGTACTATAGTCTAAACTCCTTAAAAGGGGGTTATATAGGGGATTATATAGTGGATTACTATAGGGGTTATTAAGGGGGATATTAGGAGTTTAGACCATGGCTCATATGTTGCTGCTCCTCCTCCTCCTCATTCTCCTGCTGCTGTTGTTGTATGTGCTGTTATCATCGCTACTGCTACTGTTGTCATTACTGTTATTGTTACGCAGGTGGCATGGGTTTACGAGTTTAGGCTTTAGGGATTGGTTGTATGTTAGGATTTAACGCACGGTGACCACGGGTTAGTATAGGGAGGAGGAGAATATGGTGATTCTAGAGGGTTACCCTTCCCTGAACCTAACCTGGAGCTGCACAAGAGCACAAACAGATGGTGCCTGTGAAATGGGAACCTCAAACCCAAAATTTACCAGTGGTTAGTAGGGGAAGAAGGGAATTACAATCCCAATATGATACTAAAACCACATTCAGGCGGACTCAACTTGACCACTTGCGTCACGATTCACCTCTGAGATCCAAATTTGGAAAGCCCTGAAAGTGGAGATCAAGGTTGCGTGAGAACATGAAACCTGTTTTGTGGATGACACCCCAATACCTCGACCTGGTCCACAAGCCTCATTCAGGTACATTTGAACACCCCCAAATAATCACCCCAAACCCTACACCCTGAACTCTAAACCCTAAACCGCAAACCCTCAACCCCAACGCACACCCTAAACCTGAAACCCTAAGCCCTAAATACTAAAGCAAAAGCCCCTTCAAGTCCCATCACACCCCGAGGAGCCTGGCGGCCATTGATGACTTTGCAAAGTGGCCTTCAGACACAGCTGGCTTGGCAACAGCAGCTGTCACAGGACCTTCCGGAAAGAGGGCTTAGGGTTTCGGATTTAGGGTTTAGGATTTAGGGTTTAGGGTTTCAGGGAAGGGGCTTAGCGTTCTGGATTAGGGCTTAGGTGCAAGGGAAAAGGGGGTAGGTCTTTGGATTTAGTGTGGTGCTTAGGGGTTATGTAGGGGTTATACACGCAACCCGAATGGGACAAGCAAATGGACAATGAAATGGAAGCTGGGATGATGCAGGGGCTTAAGGCTTCAGGGAATGGTAGTTTGCATGGAGTGGAGGATCCCGACACCGACCCCGGTATATTACAATCCTTATGAGAAGTATACTCCCCAAAAGGCACCCCTAGTTTCTGGAAAGCCCCCACGCGGCCAGTTGAGGGCTTTGCGGTTTTGGGGGCTTACGTGTTTCGGTTTTGGGGCTCAAGCTCAGGGATTTTTGGGGCTTAGGGTTTAGGAGTTGAGGCGTTAAGGTTCAAGTTTTCGAGGTTTGGGGTCTAGGAGTTAGGGATAGGGTTTAGAAGTTCAGCGTTCAGGGTTTGGGGGTTTGAGCTTGTGTCCTGTTCAGTCTCAAGGCCTATAAGCCCTAAACCCTAAATACTAAATCCTGAAACCTAAGCCCTTAATCCTTAACCCTAAACCCTGAATTCTAAGCACAGGAGCCGGAGATAAAGATCAGCCTGCCCGCATGGGCAAGCCACGCCACCTCGGAGCTGGGGCCCCTATCCCTCTGGGAGCCTTCCTTGACCTCAGTGCCCCCTGGCTGTTGCGATTATTATTGCTTCTAGTATGATCACGACTAGAATTACTAGTATTTGAATAACTGGTAATTATTTTTGCTTTTGACATTGTTGCACTGTTACAATCATCTCCTTATCGCTGTGTGAAGCCCCGAACCTGAGCCGTGAATCCGCAGTTTAGGGTTTAGGGACTAGGGTAAGCCTGACTACCAAGCTTTGAACAATGAAGAACCCTAAATCTAGGTTTTCTGCTGTCCTGAATGATGGCATTCTGGAGCGGCTGTTGGCGCTGCTGGGGCCACTGGGTCATGGCTTGGGGTTCAACATGTAGGGCTTCAAGTCAATCAGGGTCGAAAGGGTGTAGATCTTAGGGTTCAGCAAGTTCATGAACAACTCTTGCTCCGTTCACTTCCCCGCCCCTAAGCCCGAAACCCCAAGTCACAAGTCTGAAAACTCCTGAACACCAAGCCTTAAAACCTACACACCAAAACCCCAGACCCTGAACCTTCAACCCTAAACCCTAGACCCTAAGCCCGCATCCCCCTTACTTGGAGGTCCACAGGTAATTCTAACCCATTTATGCTAGAAGTTCTACCCGACTTACAACCATGTCGAGGGACTGGGGGCTTATGACCAAGTTGCAAGTAGGCTGCACAAAGATCTCAACCCTAAACTCTATAAACCCCAAACTCCAAAACATACCCCAAACTCAAACCCTTAGCCTCTAAAGCATAAACTCTAAGCCCTAGGTCCTAAACCCAAGTGAGCTCTAGGCCGGGGGAACGGCAGTTTGTGGAGATTGGGACACAGCTGGGGGACCAGTGCCTGGGTGACTTGTGGGTCAACGCGGTTTAGGGTTAGGGTTCAGGCAACAGGTGTAGGGCTAATGGTAGTATCCAATAATTAGCGGGGTATCCTTAACCCTAAGCCCCTAGACCCTAATCTTAAGGTATACCCGTGGTCCAAGAATTACCTGCAGTTTTATATTTACTGCCTACTTTAGCGGGCTACCCTAATTTTCGGAACTACCCTTTTGGCTGCGTGCGCGCGCGCCCAGCTGCAAAGGGGTTTTTAGCTTAGGATGTAGGGTTAGGGAGTAAGAAATTAGGGCTTCTAGGCTGTGGCGTTCAAGGTTTGGAGTTTAGGATTTTGCCGTGATGTCGAGCAGAAGATTTGATCGCGGTGCAGCAAAGTACTGCTGAATGCGCCGTGCTATTCGACATTCTGCTGGCGCCCGATTCTGGAAAGCCATGTACGTAACGCATTCACGTATTCTGCGCCGTACAAGGCCTCAAAACCTCGCAACCTATTTCAGATTTGGAAGGAAATCTCAGTCAAGCGATTCATCACTCAAACAGTGAGCGCTTGGCGGAGAGGGTTTAAAGGCAAGGGTTTTCCCTAAACCCAAGCCCTAACCAGTATTGATCCGGACCTGCGTACTACTGCTCTCCTGGCTGTGGGGAGGCGCGCTAAGAGGCTTAGTGAGGTCAAGGCGCATGTGTGTCGCCTACCCCTGTTTGCGTGGCAGCGTCGTCTTGCGTTAACAGCGGGGGGGTTGGGGTTTGTTTTTTTTTTTGGGGGGGTTTGGAATTTATGTTGAGGGTCTGGGGCTTCAGGATCTTGAAATTGGACGTCCTTGCGTCCTTCAATTGGCCTACATCGCGATTGTATGGGCGGGGTTTAGGTTTTGTCGCGGAAGAACCCCATTAAATTACTTGTTGACCGTGTATAGGAGGGATTCTTATCTCCAGATTTGAGACGGTGTTTTTCAGTTGTTTACGCAGATACTCTGAGAGAGTAGAGTGGCAGATATTTTGCATAGGTGCATGTCAGATACACACATATACAGGACAAGTATGCGCACACATGCACTCTGATCTCCACATACATGTGTACAGTCTTTGACAAGTGCACAAGTAGTTCACCTGTGTTTGTATCCCCATGTTTGATTCAAGTAAGCCCTAAACCCTTAACTCTTAAGCGCGTTTTCCTGCATGGCGTTCATGGAGACTGTTTCGAGGGTCATGGGACAGAACACCTCTTAGGAATTATTCTTATCATCCTGAAACGACCGCTATCCTATTCTTATTTTACTTTCGAAGCCCCTCTGACCCAACAACCTCACTCAACCATATCCCAAATACGTAGTGATTTCTATTTTTAGACTGGTCCCAGAGCTACCTTCATTTCAGCTGTTGGAATTTTGTAGTAGAGAGTTGGGAAATGCTCGGCAAGTTTCTGAATTCCACGCTGTGGCATACCAGAATTTTCTATAATGTATTATAATATACCCTATTATGCTTTCATATTGTAAATCAGCCAGTGTCCAAGTAAGGTGCAATACCCGCTATCTTCGAGCTCGCTATGGCTTCCACGGCCTGATGATCGATGATAATTTCTACAATACGGAAACTTACTCTGGCTTAATTTACGTATGTGGAAGCTACTTATCCATAAGGTTTTGGGGATTTAGGGTGCGGGGTTGAAGTTCAGGGTCCATGGCTTACGGTTAAGGGTTTAGCGGTTTAGCGCTTTCTGGGGAATTCAGGCATGGACGCCTATAGGGGTCCTATAAGATCACGGCAATATTTCCCATCACATGTTCCCGCATTCCCATCTATGCATGAGTAAGGAAATAAACCTGACGACGCATCGTGCCACGCCTGACAACGTGGTAGATTTGTTCCGAAGGCATGTGGTTCCAGAGGTGTTTGATGTATTGTCGCTGGACACTGATGGAAACCAGTGGCTTTTGTGGATGAATCTATGCAAAGACGGTGGTTATCGGCCACGTATTGTTATGATCGAGTACAATGTCGACCTACCCTTTGATGAAGATGTGGCAGTCCGCTACTCGAGCTATCCTGTGCACCAGCTATGTCTAGCCAATCTGGGCAAGTTTCCGTCGATGGTTTCTGCAAGTATCACTGCACTAAGGAATCTGGGGCGTGCTCTAGGTTATGCCTTGGTGCACATTGGAGCTGTAGATTTGACGTTTGTTCGCGCAGACTCGTTGCATGGTTTGAGCTTCCCTGCGCAAGATGATCCAGCTGGTCTGTGTGCCCTAGCACGTTATCAAGCGCGTGGACGGAAGCATTTGTTACACAGGTGCGCTACAGGCTGGCGCCAAAAACCGGCCCACGAAATCTTAACGAATTCAGCATCTGCCTTGTCCGGTGACTTTCGCCTGAATGACACGGACTGGACATTCGAGCGAGTATTACGGACCTATTGCTGATACTGCTGGATCTCTAGCTGCTCGGCTGAAAGGCTTTTGGAGCATCCAATTTCCTTTAGCTTAGTATGGAACGCGAACGCGCCCGTTCTAACTTGTGCGCATGCATAGTTGCCAAACCCGTCATTGGATTAGTTCCAGATGTAGTTGCAAGAGGGGCGTGACCATATCACTGGCCTTACTTTGGAAAGTTGTGTTTTTTTCAAGAATCACGCGTCCTCGGTTTGTTGCACACGAAAGTTGGAAATTGGGTGTGTGTTTTTTTTTTCTTTTTTTTTTATCTCGAGCCTGATTTGTGAGCCCTAAAGCATGAGGTTGCTTGAGAACGTCAAAGCTCTGTGGGCGATGTTGCCAGGACGACGTGCGCGACCTGTAGCAAGGCAGCTCACCCTTCATGAGCTTTGGAGGGTGTCTACTATCCATGCTTATTTTTGAAACTATAGTTTCGGCTTCCAAATATGAGCAGCCTCGTTGTAGGGACTTCCAAAGAGGGGCTCCTGACCGTTTGCAAACTTCAGATCTGGGTGGATGCAGAGATGTGAAGACAGGTTTGGAAGATTGCCTTAGCTCTATAAGCCCAAATGATGGTTTTCAAGCACTGGCATTTTAAGCTGATAAGCCGCGTCCCAGTCTATAAACCCTGAAGTCTCCAGACACTTGGACCACGGAGCCAGACACAGAAAGAAGTAAAAACTGGGTTGCTGTTCAGGTCCTTAAAGTAAGTTGCCTGCACGAGGAAAACCAATTCTTTACGCTGTGCCCATATATTATGGTCATTACTTAAGTCTGGGTGGCACCTTGGGATAATTCAAAATTTCCCCTATTGTTGTTATTAGGGAGCCTATTTGAACATATCTCTGGGGGCCTTTTACAGTATATGCTACCCAGAAGTTCCTTAACGGCAACCCACAACATGCGACCAAGGTGCCTGCCGCAGGCGGATCGACAAGTTCCGACGCTTTCAGACGTTGCAGAAAGTTGCCAGCGCCATGCTTGCGGGCATCTGCCCATGGTCGAATAAGAGGCTGCTGGTGCTGCCGTGGTCAACATCCCCCAAGCCAGGGAGCTCAATACCCCTTCAGTGAGGGTGTACTCCTTAATTAAGGGGTCTTCGGCTCTCTGGGAACCATGCTCCTTCCTATTTCCACAAAGTCGACCAACTTCCTCTTGTCCGATGTTGCTGTGGGCAAGGAAGGCGTGCAGGCGTCGATGGCTAGAGGTATTTCTTCATGGGTTTCCCTACCACTTTCCTATACTGTGCCCCCGAAAAATCTTCCTTATCCAGTTCATTTAGAATGAATGAACTTTTGAATGGTGAGCTGTTGGGGTGGAGTATAGGGAGGTGGTCAGAGAACCAATGATATCTACAGCTCTCCAAATTTCATGCAGAACCACAGCTTCATGGTCTCAAGACCCGACGTGGCGCTGTCTGTTGATTGAAGGAATGCTGGAAAATGACCGGGAGCATTGGATCTTCACCTTGTGCATCTTTTTTCTTGCAGGGGTATGGGCTTCCTAACCCTAGCACCCAAGCCCTAAAACTTGGACCCTAATTCCTTGCCATGCCTGCACAAAGGATCAGTTTCCCTTCCTAGCGCTATATCGACTAAGAGACGCTATATCGACTAAGAGAAGTGTAGCCTTACCGCCTTCCAGCGCCACAAGGTGGCTTTGTAGGGAGGGAAGGGGTAATGTAGAAGCGCCAATGATGATAGACATTACGCGGTTTAGGGTCCAGGGTTTGGGATTTAAGATAACCCTAAACACTAAAGCCTGATGACAGTACACCCGAGACAAGCCTTCTCTGATGCGACATGCCCATACACTAGGGTCGCTTGACGAGCTTCCATTCCATAGTACCTGGTCAAGTGCACAACCCAGGTATGGAAACAACACGAACCCGATGGGCTCGATAAGGTTTGGGGCCTCCAGCAATGTAGAACCAAATGGAAGAGACAAGGGCAAATGAAATGGAAGCCGGGATGATGACTGGGGATGGCTGAGACCAGATATGGCAAAGCTGGGTTGCTATTGAGGCCTTAAAACTAATTTACCATAATACGGAGAGTTTATTATCTACATGTCGTCATATTCTGGTAACTTAATTTAATTTCTTTAACAGCAACCCAGCAAGTCCATGTTATGCTGAAGGACACCTTCAGCTTTGTAGTTGGCAGGTGGGAGGCCTCATGTAAGGCTCAGGTAAGTGTTCGGGTTTAGGGTTTTAGGGCTATATCATATGGTAGTTTCCCAAAATGAGGAGACCCCAATATAGACCCCACAATATCCCAAAACGGGTACCCCTAATTTTGGAAAACAACCGTATAGGCCTGCTCATAACTACGTAGTTGGAGGTTTCCTTGACATAGCCATGATCTCCCACAGTTTCCCATAGTTACTACTATGGATAGGGTTAGTAACATGCCCAAAGCCCCAAATCCTGCATATCCTCATTTTTGCATAAGAGAGATAGCCGTATATAAGTCCTAAACCATGCGTACCTAGCCGCAGCCGCCTCCCCCGACTGCAAACAGTCTGCTGATGTGTTGGTTAAAGGTCCTCTTTTCCAGATTTTAAATTTAAATCCCTTGACTGTGTCTGGGGTTCAGGGTTTAGGTTTTAGGGGTGACTGCTCAGGTTTTAGGCTCAAGGATCTTAGGAAATGTGGTAGACTAAATGATTAGTTAATGACAACCAATTTTATCATGCCAGATTTCTTGTACAGTTCTGGTATAGGGTATCTCAAGTAGACCTCAACTGATTCGGGTGATTATCCAAATTATGCATGCTCCTGCATTACAGTCCCCATAAATCACCGTGTCCATGTCATTTTGAATTTATCATCCGTCTGTTTTGGCCTCTAAAGGCTGAGACCCGAACCCTACCCCCAACCCCCCAAACCCTAAACCCTAGCGTAGTCTCTCGATGCTTGTTGAGATTCATGATTGCTGCGCAGTGCACCGCCATCACCTGATCCCCTGTGAGTCTAGCAAAAAGCGCAAGGGGGCGGGATACGTAGAATCGCGTATGCCCCACGTAGGCCACATGCACTTTCCCTCTGGGAGCTTCAGAAACACCCAATACTTTTGCAAGCCTGACCCCCCAACAAGAAACCCTAAACTTTGAACCTAACAGGCACCAACTGTCGACCCTAATCTCAAGCTAAAGCCCTCAACACTACATCCTAAACCTTGAACACCAAACCAATATAGACCCCAACATAGTATGTTCCTTCTTATCGGGACCCGAAACTGGTACCCCTCACTTTGAGAAACTCCCCAATCCGAAGCCCAAGAAAGCCACAAGGCTGCTGCTCCCGACAGCTCAGAGGCGAAACAGGTGCTGCCTTGTCATGTTGTGGTTACCCTTTCGAGTTCTTTAGGGTCCAGGGTTTGAACTAGGGTTCAGGGCTCTGGGAATATGATTTTCGGGGATGGTTTTAGCATTTCCTTCCCAAACTACCGCTTTCGTGGCAGATGGCTGTAGAGGGTTTTAGCTGTTGATATTTAGGTGCCTTCTGTACAAGTTATCACTAAGCAAACCTCAAACCCTAGACTCGAATGATGTAGGCGTTGCCCATGATCACCTGGATATAGTGATGAGGCAAGAGGGCTCCCTCTGGAAATGTTTCCAGTACCCCTACATATCTTTAGGGTCGCCCAGCATTCTGTTACTTTGAGATCCCTCGGGTAAATCTTAAGTCCCAAGCCCTTTGCCTACAACTCCTAAGCCTGCAAGCCCAGGATGAAAAGAGGATTTGTATCCCTGCCCGTTGCAAAAGGAAAGATCGCCCAGAAATGAACGGTCAAAAGGGGAGCATGCAATGATGCTGCTGGCACTTTCTTCGGTTTATGGGAGTCGAAACTTGGCTATCCAGCAAAAGCAAAAAGTTTTGTTCACTGGTCAGCCTTCCCTGAACCCTAAACCCTGAACCGAAACCCCCCATAGAAAGACAGGATGGCCGGCGTGTAGGATAGGAGCTACTGTCAATATTTGGCGCTTTACAGGGCCGTCAGCGGTGGACGCCGGGGGTCCCTCTTGTCGCGCGGTATAGTCACCGATCTAGTCCCTCATAAGTATGGAACCCGTGTCCATGAGTCATCTGAGAAATATGGACTGTAGCTTATATAGGAACTTTGAGCCAGCAGGTTGGACCAGAAGGTTGGGCGAGAGCTTCTTAGGCGAGCCAGTTGGGCGAAAAGAATGTGAGATCAATTTGGGCGAGCAAGTTGAGCGAACAAGTTGCGCAACCACATCGAGCGATCAAGTTGGGCCAACAGGTTGAGACAGAGGATTGGGCGGCCATTTGGGTGAGTAGGTTGCGCAAGCAAAATGGTGGTTTCCCAAAATTATGGTACCATTTTTGGGGGGTCACTATAATAAGGACTGTACTATTTTGGGGTCTATATTGGGGTCCCCTTTTGGGAAACTACCAAATCAGAAACTCCAGTGGGCAGGTTGGGCGGGCAAAAACTTGTAAAAGCAAGTGCTCAGAGAGTGTCTCTGCCGGAGCCCCAACCTGTAACCCCAATTACCTACTGTTCAATAGTAATTACCCCTTCATTAGTAGGTATAACCGATAAAACTGTAGGTCATTGGGGTCAAAGGAAACCCTATACAATATCTATGCACTACACCCAAACTCCAACATGGAGGGTCAGGAATCTGAAAGCCTTGCAGTCAGTCTTCGCTTTGTCATGCTTCCGCGTGGAAGTTCAGGGGTCTAGCGTTTAGAGGCAGTCAGAAGGTTGTAACTACAAGTGCTTGTCTAACAGCCCCTTCTACAGCAGCATTCTTACAATTGATTGCTGCTACCATGCGATGTCTCACTGGGAGGCCGTCTCATTTTCAGGATTTGTTCACGTTCGAAGGTTGTCAGCCCTGAGTCCTAAACAGGGGCTGATTTGAAAACAGTTTTAAGCTTTATTACTCCAGATCTCTATATATTCCTCATCAAACCACAGATAGTTAATTGCTATAGGGCCCTTAAAAACCGTTGGTCC